GGTTTAGGGCTTTGGGTTTCCAGTCATGCCGGCAAGCCACTGAGCATGATGCCAAGCGCATTTGGTTTCAAATGTCGTTCCGCTGAGATCCAACTCTTGGACAGGACAGGAACAAGAACATTTGGGGTTTAGGGTTTGGGGTTTAGGGCACCGAGAACATGAGCAATAACACCAACTAGCAAGCGGCAACAACAACTGCAACTGCTACACTACCACTCTAATGAAAAACTACCAACCACCACTGCCACTACCACCAAGACTACCCACACCAACAACAATGCCAATACCACCACCACCACCCCTACGAGTACTAATACGACTACTGCTACGACGGCTGGTTCAGCTGACAACACCACCATAAGAATATGATCATACTATAAAACTCAGGGTTCTAGACTTGGGGCCTTTAAGGGTGTGGTTTAGACTTGGGGTGCGATACGGTAGAAGTGTAACAGGAACTTTGAGAGGAGTATCTCAAATCTGGAGGGTCTATCACTTACTTAGCGGCCAGCCTAGTCCTGGAGTACTTGGAGGTCCATGGGTAGTTATAAGTAGGGACATAAGTAGGGTAACTTTGTTTATTAGGGGACTTATAACCCCACTTATAACTACCCATGAACCTCCAAGTACCCATGAAGCCAAAAACCCCATGCCCCGAATCCCAAAACCCTGAGCCCCAGACCCTGAACCCCAAACACCTAAACCCTGTATGGTAAACCTGCACAGGAACCGTTATGTATAGCAACCCCTTATGATCAGACCCTTGTAGTAACCCTTATAGGAACGCTTGGCAATCTTGAAACCCGATGAAATCCCAAACATAAACTATATAACCGTGTATATATATATATAACTAACTTAAAGCTGGCCCACCGATTTGCATACCCCAAAGCCTACCCCTCTAAACCCCTAAACCCTAAACCCCTGAAATCAACCTCCAACCTTGAACTCCAAAGGGAACTCAACGAAGGTCTCCGGAGCCACTGCCTCGACTCCTCCTTGGGCTCTGAAGCCTCTGAGGCTGCCTCAACGCGATCCCTTCTGGGTGTAAGATTTAAGGTTTAGGGTTTAGGGTTTAGGGTTTAGGGTTTAGGGTTTAGGGTATTTAGGGCTTGATATTGGGGCCTTAATAGTTAGAAATAGGTTTCGGGGCCCATTATAACTATAATTATAATGAGGAGCCCCCAAAAATATTATTGGTAATTACTTAGGCCCCTGTATGAGGGTTTGGGGCCTGAGGGATGCATTCGAGCTCCGTTGACGAGTTTGCGGTTATCGGCTATAAGGGCTCTACAGAGCCCCTATGGGGTCTTTAGATGATCTTTGGAGGGGTTTGTTGCTAGGAGCTTAATTAATGGAAGGCCTCGCGGTACGATAAGCATATAATGTCAAGAGCTGGGCTCATCATAATAATGGTCACTTAGACTCAGCTCCTTGACCAGAACCCAATCAAGGAGCCCCAAAACACAGCAAGACGCCAGCCCACATCCGAAAGGTCCTGAAACAAAGCTCGTTTAGGGTTGTGGGGTTTGGGGGGTTAGGGCTTTAGGGTAGTTTCGGGGTTCGAGGGACAGGCTTTAGGGTCCAGGATTCCGGATTCAGGGTTTAGGGTCTAGGGTTTAGGGTTCAGGGGTTTAGGGGTTTAGGGTTCAGGGGTTTAGGGTTTAGGGGTTTAGGGGTTTAGGGGTTCAGGGTTTAGGGCTTCGGGAAAAATATTGGATGGCCCAATCCCAAGTGCAGCCTGCGGCGGCGTCTGGATCGGCAGCGTGAATGCAGAAGTTAGCCGGGACTGCCAAGGTACGAGGCAGTCTCTATGGT